GCTGCATCCGAGTTCGAATCCCCTTTGATAATTTAGATTAAATTAAAGTCTAGTGTCATTTGTATTTAAAAATTAAAAAGAAAAAAGAAAAAAACAAGTAAGGAGCGCTTGGGTGTCCAGAGATATTTTTGAGCGTTTAGAGACTTTACCATTTCTGAAAGGGGAAGTCAGCAACACGCTCACACGCGAGTCTCAACTCAACACGGCACGCTCACAATCCCTTTTCCGCGAAGCAAACATAACAAACAAACAAATCCCCCAATTTCACTTCAACAATCAATACCCTCTCTCTCTCTCTCTCTCTCTCTCTCATAATCTGAAATCTCCATTTTCCCGACCCGAATAGCGATGGTTCCGCCGGCCGGTCCAACCCCAGCGAACCCGCAACTGATTCAGCAGTTCCTGAGCTCAGTCCTCTCGCAGCGCGGCCCCTCGTCCCTCCCTTACTCCGAAGACACCAAATGGCACATCCGCAACCACCTCGTCTCTCTCACCACCGCCTACCCCTCCCTCGACCCCAAAACGGCGACGTTCACCCACAACGACGGTCGTTCCGTCAACCTACTCCAGGCCGAGGGCACCGTCCCCATGTTGTTTCACGGCGTCACCTACAACATCCCCGTCATCATCTGGCTCATGGAGTCCTACCCCCGCCAGCCGCCCGTCGTCTACGTCAACCCCACGCGCGACATGATCATCAAGCGCCCTCACGAACACGTTAATCCCTCTGGTTTGGTCTCAATCCCTTACCTGCACAATTGGGTCTACCCGAGCTCCAATCTTGTCGAGCTCGCCAAGAATCTCAGCGCTGTCTTTGGTCAAGACCCGCCTCTGTTCTCTCAGCGCAGGCCCAATCCCAATCCAAACCCTAACCCTAACCCTAATCTGGGTCATTCCTCGTCAGCGATTTCGAATTCGGGTTATTCCAGCTATTCGGGCTATTCGGGATCTTCGGGCTCGGTTACTCCTGCCCGCCCCGCGATCCCCCCGAGGGCGTACCCACCGTCCCCGTATGGAAGCAGCGGGTCGTTTTCTCGGGTTCAGACCGAGGATCCGAACGAGGTTTTCAAGCGAAACGCGATCAGTAAGCTTGTGGAGATCGTGCACGGTGACGTGGCCGGGTTGAGGAAGACGAGGGAGGCAGAAATGGAAGGCTTGTTCAATGCGCAGGCCGAGCTGAGACAGCGGTCTGAGCATCTTAACAAAGGCTTGAAGGAGATGGGGGACGAGAAGGAGGGTTTGGAGCAGCAATTGCAGATGGTGTTGATGAATTCAGAAGTTTTGGAGGGGTGGCTGAGAGAGAATGAGGGGAAAGCTAGGGGCAGGTTGAAGGGTGTCGATGTGGACGATGCATTTGAATGCGTGGATGTGCTTTCAAAGCAAATGTTGGATTGTACGGCCTCTGATTTGGCTATAGAAGATGTTGTGTATTCCTTAGATAAGGCATTGCAAGATGGGGCAATACCCATTGATGAGTACTTGAAGAATGTGAGGTCTTTGTCGCGCAAGCAGTTCTATGATCGCGCTACGGCGGCGAAAGTCAGGGCTACCCAAATGCAATCACAGGTTGCAAACAGGGCTGTCGGAATGCAATCACAGGTTGCAAACAGGGCTGTCGGAATGCAATCACAGGTTGCAAACAGGGCTGTCGGAATGCAATCACAGGTTGCAAACAGGGCTGTCGGAATGCAATCACAGGTTGCAAACAGGGCTGTCGGAATGCAATCACAGGTTGCAAACAGGGCTGTCGGAATGCAATCACAGGTTGCAAACAGGGCTGTCGGAATGCAATCACAGGTTGCAAACAGGGCTGTCGGAATGCAATCACAGGTTGCAAACAGGGCTGTCGGAATGCAATCACAGGTTGCAAACAGGGCTGTCGGAATGCAATCACAGGTTGCAAACAGGGCTGTCGGAATGCAATCACAGGTTGCAAACAGGGCTGTCGGAATGCAATCACAGGTTGCAAACAGGGCTGTCGGAATGCAATCACAGGTTGCAAACAGGGCTGTCGGAATGCAATCACAGGTTGCAAACAGGGCTGTCGGAATGCAATCACAGGTTGCAAACAGGGCTGTCGGAATGCAATCACAGGTTGCAAACAGGGCTGTCGGAATGCAATCACAGGTTGCAAACAGGGCTGTCGGAATGCAATCACAGGTTGCAAACAAGGATGTCGAAATGCAATCACAGGTTGCAAATATGGCTTCCAGGCTTTCACATTATGTTTCCTCATAGTACATTCCTGGTTGTGAGTGTTGGTGGATCGACTGGCTGCATATTCGGGCTCCATTTCTCCACCGCACCAGTGAATCAATGGATCATTATAGTAGAAATGATATAGTTTCTAGTTATATTCCTGTAAAAAAAAATATGTCAATGGTTTCTTTTCTATTTTTTCTGTATTGTTTTTTCACAATTTTTCTTTAGAGACCGTTTCTCTGGGAAATGTGTTGTTCAATAAGTATGATATGAAAACTCATTTTTGCTCCAGATTTATATAAGAATATCAGATATAGTCATTACTCCTGGATTCTTACTTCTTTTATGATTTGTTTTTTGGCTTAACCCTTTTCCGAGGTTCAATTGTGAAAGTTTTTGTATAGCATTAGCCTGTGTGTTTACTATCCCTAGTTTTTGTATATGATTAACTGGTTCTCTGATGTGATTCTTTCAGGACAGGGCAACAAGACAAAGGGACAGTTTATCTCCTTTTCTTTTTGTCATTATTATGTAGGACGTGTTTAGCATGCTAATGGACAAGAAAACTTTTCATAAGTTAATTTGTCATTCAATATGTGCAAAGTTGAGAATCTTATGTCTTTGCTTTACTGATGACTTTTGCATATTCCCATCAGCTAATTTGCATTCAGTTCTGCTAATTAAAACAGTGTGGACTGCTTTGCATTGCATCAGTGGTTGTTCCTAAATGAAATAAAGGCGAGAGTGAAATATCCTTTTCCGGAAATACAACCACTTGCAACTTTTCCAGGAATACCTTAGGGCGCTTTTAAAATTTTGAAGATTTGCCTATAAAGATTTCATTCTTCTGTCTGAGATTTACTTATTGGAAAACAAAGCATCTGTCCCGTGTGTGATGAATCATGTCTATTCTATTTCCGATGCAGGTTTGAGGCTTAGGGGGTGCTGAGCTCCTTTCTAGCTTGTAATTGACTTGGTTTTGAGTTTCTGTTATGCTTCTTGTGCAGGGAAACCGTGTTGATTTATTGTGTAACCCTGGCTGCTTGTGCTACATTTTGTTTGAATAATATTTCTTATTGCTCTAAAAAGATAATATTGCTAATCTTCACTTGTCAAAAATTTAAACTAAACATGGTGATAGAGTTGTTAAGATTGAATTTTATAACAATGTTTCAAGGTTTTTTGTACTTTTGGTAATGATTTACCCCAGGTTTTTGGGCTTACTGTCTGTTTCCCTTTTGTGTAGTACAGAGCTGGCAATTGAAGCTGCATGTGCAAGATCCCTGGTGGTTGATACTTCAAATTCTTGCCAAGCCTAAGGTGCCTTGCATTTTGGAAAGTTGGGTTACAACTTCATATGGGAAGGGAGAAGTATCTGCTGCATTTTCCTGTTTTTGACGAGTGTTAGGGTTTTCTCATACAGCAGCTGGGGTAGTTTTGTAATCATAAGTATGTTGGTTGATATATAATGGTTGTCTCTCATTCTAAAAGATAACCCTGATTTATTTTCAATAGCTCATCCTTTTCTTCTGTCTGTTGGTAACCTGATGATATGTGTCACATTTTACCAAAAAGAGTGCCAACTGCCAGGGAAGCGCAACCCTTGTACAAGAAATGTTTGCTGCATGTTTGCATTGTTTGTTAATGACATCTACAGTGTAGTAGTATACTTTCATTTTGGATCACCAGTGATGGGTTTCAAATATTTTATATTTCTTCATATGTAGCTGGAGATTGCGATGTCGACCCCAGGTGTGTTTGAGGTTGTTTAAACATTCAAACTTTCCTGTTTCCTGTTAAAAATGGTCACTAAGATTGAGAAGTTATGTTATTTTTTCCCCTTCCTACACATGTTCTACGAGAGCTGGTACATGACCATCCTACAAGAGTCTTAGGGGTAATCATCTTTTTCCTCGATATCTTGACATATATTTTGTATTTTCTTGTGGGCTCCAATTCATGGTGTTTGACAGAGAATGTAGATTAAGTAATATTTGCAGATTTGCTGTGTCTGCATTGTATAACATAAATATTGGTTCAATGTGGAAGAATAGGCATGCATCTGTTCTGGTGCAAATCATAGTAGATGCATATGTAAGTGACCAATCTGGTTGTATGTATAGCAGTGTCCAACCTGAAATAAATCTTAATAAGGTGTTTTTTTTTTTTATTGGTATTCAAAATTGTAATTCCATATTACAAGAAGGTTGAGGTACTGGTCCGTATATAAATTGAAACCG